TCCGTGTAGCTGACAGAAAGCAAAGCTAATTATTGCAGGGAAAATCGGGATTTTAGAACAAGGGCCTCCATACAAAAAATTTTTGGCTGATCGTGTAAGACACCAGCCGAGCTAAGCCGGGCCGAGTTTTAGTAATTGCTCTACTATCATGATTATGCAAATTTGCATTTATAATGCGATTTTGCATAATCATGTGAAGCATGTCTATAAATGAGACCCGAACAGTTCAACAGAGCTGAATTTGAAATTTTTCCAATTACACATGAATAGGGAACATTCCCTTAATGTTTTAGCATTCTAGCGTCTCTCGTTCCCGACTTAGCAATTTTCTCGCCAAAACTTCCACTTGAGAAGTAGGTACGCGTGACAATGGAAATCACTTTCTTGGGGTGGCCTTGGCCAAGGAACACACTAGCGAAATTCCAGCTTCAAAAATTGCATGGTTGCTAAGTAAAAATATCCGGGCGTACGAACACACACAAACATATACGCACACACACGCACACACACACACACACACACATACACGCGGACAGGGCTGTCGATACTTGCGCTTTTGTTGTCTGCTGCAGCGCGCTCTAGCGTTGCAAGCGAAAATGCGTAAAAACTAACCGTTGACGGTGGGTTTCAGGACGAATTATTGGCTGAGGCGACTGACGTCAAACGTCTACCTCTGTACATTGTCCTTATGTAGCTGTTTGTTCCTGTCGACGGTACTGCTCACGTGGATGGACGGGATCCTCGAGGTGCCGTTGTATAACAGCTCTGAATTGGGATGCCGAGTGCTCACATTCTGTGCCCACATGAGCGACTTCAACTGCGTCTGGATGATCTCCTGGATATCGTGCGACCGAGCTATTGTGCTCTTTAGACCAGGTGTTGCCGCACGCTTCATCCAATGTTTCATTTTAATGACAAAATTTCTGAATTCTGCCTTAACAAAACCGCGCGCTTATTCTCCCTGACTGCGCAATTTTTACGCGTTTTTGCATATATGCAAATTGCAAAAACGCATATTGGGAAGAGGCTGTCTGTGTATGTGTCTGTGTGTTTACATTTTTTGTCACCCACTTTCAACTCGAGAGCTAGAAAAGCTAGAAGACTGAAACTTTGGGAGTACGTGCCCATACCACTAGCGATTCTCCTGGTTTAATTTCTTCCCTCGCGAATGCCTGGGTGCCGCATACGGCCGCTTTAAAAAATATGCAAATTTTTTGGCGGGAAGGTGATCTCGAGAGCCAAACGAGCTGAGGCGCTGAAACTTTGTAGGGATATTGCCTGTGCATGTATTAGCTAAATACAAATTCAGCCTCAATCTGTGCGTGGTACTCACATAAAGGCACATAAAGGCGTATGAAAGTTTTTGCGGGAAAATTACTAACTCGGCAGCCAGAAAAGCTGGAAGACTGAAATTTTAGGGGATGTTCCCTGTCCGCGTACAATTTAAAAATTTCAAATTCGGCCTTCCGGGCAAGTGGGGTGCCCACGTACAGGCATCTGAAAGTTTTGGCGGGAAAATTGCTAACTCGGTAACCGGAAAAGCTGGAAGGCCGAAATTTTGGGGGAATGTCCAAGTACAACTCAAATATTTCATATACTGTCCCAAGCTGTGGGTGGTACTTACATAGGGGCGTATGAAAGTTTTGGCGGGATAATTACTAACTCGGGAACCAGAAAAGCTAGGAAGCTGAAATTTTAGGGTAATGTTTCCTGTCCAAGCACAACTTAAGTATTTCAAATCCAGCTTTGAGGTATACATGGTTCTTGCGTACGGGCACTTAAAAGTTTTGGCGGAAAAATTTTTCACTCAACAGCTCGGTTAGTTTTAAAGAATGACCGTTAAGTGGAAGTTGTATATTTACTTTATGCAAGGTTTATGGTGATTTATGCTAGTGACCGCAAAAGGTAGGTGTGAAGCAGCAACCATTCATGCAGTTAATGACCTGAGTACTTCAAGCCCGGTGCCAAAAACGCATGATCGCACTGGCCCATCCGGTGCGTTCCAGCCTGGGCTAAAGCAGGCTGATCACTAGACAAGTGCAGCTTTGTGTCTTGGTCTGCCGTATATTTTCATCGCAACTTATCTCTACAAGAGTCACATATCTGGTCCACTTTTTTGCAAAAGAGTCAGTCACTCACTAATAAATAACAGTCAGATACTGCCAGTAGAATTGGGTAACGTCGTCCAGTTGGTGAAATTTACTTTTCACCGTAGTCAATGTCCAGCAGTTTACCTGGCGTAGCTTTCAGCTAGCAAAATGCTTAAAGCATCCTTCGCCATCATTACAGTCTTCCTTAAAATTAACTTCTAAGAATGGAACGGACAAGCATCCACCAGATGATTTGCCTATGCAGAGCAGAGAGAACGGTTGGGACACAGTTCTGCACTGCATCATCAGGAGTGCGGCAGTATCGTCATCCCCAATCGCAGTCGCTGCCGCTGTTGCTGATTCTCTGATTTTTATGCGTTTTTGCTGTGCAGAACTATAACGAGCCTATAGCGAGCAAAAAATAATATTGTCAAGTGGCATGCGGTGCGTG